AGACGTACGCGGTGGGACGCCAGCACATTCTTCTTCTATGACCATGAGCTTGTTTTTTGTTTGTCCTGTCATTTGTCTCATTTCACGTTCTAGTTAATGAGATGATTGCTTTCCTGTGTGCAAGAATATTTTTCTGAGAAGAGATAATTCTCTGGATTTGAAAAATATTGTATTTCTTTCAGGATGGGAACTTCAAAACATAAGCCATAAAAGAACCAGGCCCATGATAGTTTTAATGGATGCACAAAAATTCTTCAATTAGATCCGCAGTCTATTAAGACCATTCTTCTTGTCTGCTGACAAGTCTTAAAAATGAATAGTACGCAAAATGAAAAAAGTTACACTGGTGTTTTTGTAAATATCCATTTAAAATCCTCAGATGGAGTAAGTGTAATCACTATCTATAAAATGTTTCTCATTGAGCCAAATTAATTATCCTTTGAAAGACACGCTATTTTCAGCTTTTGATGATCAATGGAGAAGTTTAGTCCATAAAGGTTACTTAAACTTAAAAAGAAAGTACATACAAGATAAAACAGATTTGATTAGAGATACTATACTCCCTGGCTGGGTAGCTTAGTTCGTTAGAGCATTGTCTGGATACACCAAGGTTGCAGATTCAATCCCTAGTCAGGACACATATAAGAATCAATCAATGAAAGCATAAATAAATGAAACAACAAATTTCTCTCTCTCTCTCTCCCTCTCTTAAATTAATAAATTAAAAAATACATAGTCCCACTACTCTTATGGGAATTGAATAAGTGGGTTTTTGTTTATTTATAGAATGTATATTTGAATAATTAACAAATGGGGCACCCAGCCAAGAACTACCATTACATAGGAGTAGGGTGTGCCACACATATAGTGCAGAGCGATTCGATGGCAGTACTACTGTGTTTATTTTTTTATTTTTCTAGTACTATTATAGTTAGACACTAGAAAACAGCCCTCAAAATAAGAAGAAAAAGCTATTGCCATCATTTTCTGTAGACAATTACAAAACTTCATTCTCATTAAATTATTGAAAAAATAAGACTAAAAAAATTAATAAATAATTGAGTGTCTAATTAAAGGGCTGAGGATATGAATAAGACATGTAAACAAAAAATGTAACACTAGTGATAAGTACTATAGCAAGATATGTGCAAGGTACCATGGCAAAACAAAAGAAAAACCAATCAACTCAGCCCTAGCAAGTTTACTCAGTGGTTAGACCATCGGCCTGCAGACCAAAGGGTCATGGGTTTGATTTCTGGTCAAGGGCACATACCTCCATTGGGGTACAAATGGGAGGCAAGCAATTGATGTGTCTCTCTCACATCAATGTTTCTCTCTCTCTTCTCTCCTCTCTCTCTCTCTCTCTCTCTCTCTCTCTCCTTTCTCCCTCCCTCCCCCTCTCTTTCATTCCCCCCTCCTCCATCCCCACCATTCAATGGAAAAAAAAGATCCTTGGGTGAGGATTTTTTAAAAACCAACCAATCAATTCAATGGGGTTAGGAGGGGGGGGAGGGTCAGGGAAAACTTTAAGAAGCAGAGAATTTTGAATTGGGCCTTTGAAAATGGGTAGGAATTCTGCAGGAGGAAGAGGAAAGGGATGCCCAGGAGGTGGAATGGATAGGCAACCGCACGACTTACTCCTGAGCTGTCCTTTGTTCAGTGGTTCTCAAAGGGTGGTCTGCACACTACTGTTTCAGGAGACCCATGAGGTCAAAGCTATTTTCAGAATAATGTTAATATTATTAAGATGGCATGTGCCTTTCCCTCTGTGCTGGCACTTGTACTGACGATGCTAATACAATGGTGGGTGAAACTGCTCGCCCCTTTATCAAGGCAGTGGCCCCAAAACAACTGCATTCTTCACTCTTAAAGAAAAAAAGCCAGTTTCACTTAAGAATGTCACAAAGTATTAACTTTATTAAATGTTCACCCTTGAGTACACATTTAAAAAATATTCTGATGATGAAATGGGAAGTAAATAGAAAGCGTGCCCACTGCATACCAAAGTGTAATGGCTATCTCCAGGAAAAGCCTGCAATTGTGCAATTGTCGGGGCTGCCAGCTGACTGTGGCGCTTTCTCCATAAAACGCCACTTTCACGTGGAAGGACTGACATACAAAGTACAGCTACTCAGACTGGGGTACTTGGCAGGTGTTTTCTCAAAAATGTACAAAGCAAAACTGTTACTTCAAGGAAAACAACAGACAGTATTTTTTCCGATGATAAAATACAAGCTTCCAGTGACGATAAGAATTCTGGAGAATATATCTACCACTGTGGGTTTGGCAGCTTCCCAATTCTCACAGATTTTTCTGATGAGATTGGTGATTTTTTGATGTGGTACAATACAATGGCAATACTTGGAATATCTGCATAACTCAGTGAATCCCCCACAAAAAAGAACAAAGCATGAGGTTACACAATCACACATGGATAAAAGATCCATTCAAAGGGCCACAAAGACCAATAGATTTTCGTGTAACAGAGTATGGGAAGTATTGGTGTGGTTTCAGATTCCATATTGCAACTAACCTTTAAGAATCGACCAGTTTTTCAAGTGCTGGGGTAGTACAAAGAAGAATACCCCTAATTATCTGAGAAAGCTATCAAAACACTCCTTCCTTTTCCAACTGCCTATCTGTGTGAGGCCAGATTTTCTTCATATAGTTTGACCAAAACAATATAACAGCGGTTCTCAACCTGTGGGCCGCGACCCATTTGGGGGTCGAACAACCCTTTCACAGGGGTCGCCTAAGACCATCAGAAAACACATATATAATTACATATTGTTTTTGTGATTAATCACTATGCTTTAACTATGTTCAATTTGTAACAATGAAATTGGGGATCACCACAACATGAGGAACTGTATTAAAGGGTCATGGCATTAGGAAGGTTGAGAACCACTGATATAACATAACAGATTAAAAGCAGAAGCAGATATATGATTTCAGCCTTTTTTTTAAAGGTGGGCATTGAAGAGAGTTGCAAAAATATAAAGCAATGCTATTCTTTTCCCTAAATAGTATTGTTTCAAAAATGTAGTCTTTTAAAAGAAAAATGTATAATTTATGCTAGCATGTTTATATGTTTAATATGTTTATTATTGGTATTTTAATAAATCTAATTAAAAGATCTCAGTTTTAATTTCTAATTCAGTAAATATCAATAGACATAAATCACAAAATTAAAAGGTCTTTGGGTTTCTTAATATTTTTAGGAGTATAAACGGGCCTTGAGACCAAAAAGGTTGAGCCTCTCTGGTTTTACTGTAAGCGAGGAGAGATGATAGATATGGTAGGAAGTGTGAGTTAATAGATGTGTTTGATGCCAAGGTTTATGGTCTTCTTCCTGTTTGAAATGGAATCACTGTAATAGCCCTTTGTTAATACCAGCAACCACTTCAAATACAAATGAAAAATAAAGATACACACACACACTTCTTTGGTGTGTTAATTTAGTTTCAGTATTTTTTGCAAATGACTTTATTGAAACACAATTTATATACTATAAAATTCACTCATTTTAGGATTCAATTATTTTTTTAGAGGGGGGATTCAATCATTTTTTTTAAGCGAATCTAGAGAATATTGCAACCATCGCCACAGTGCAGTTTTAGAACATTTCTATCACCCCAAAGAGATCCCTTATGACCATTTACAATTAATCCCAGTTTTCATCCTAGGCCCCAGGCAACCACTATCTAATTTCTATCTCTACAGATTGTCCTTTTCTGGACATTTTATATAAATGGAATTCTATATAATCCAAACGAATAGCAGAACGACCGGTTGCTATGACACGCACTGACCACTAGGAAGCAGACACTCAACGCAGGAGCTGCCCCCTGGTGGTCAGTGCGCTCCCATAGGGGGAGCACCGCTCAGCCAGAAGCCAGGCTCATGGCTAGTGAGCACAGCAATGGTGGCAGGAGCTCTCCGGCCTCCGCCTCCGCAGCAGCGCTAAAGGCGTCCGACTGCTGAGAAGGGGGCATATGCTGTCAGGTGGACATCCCCCGAGGGCTCCCGGACTGCGAGAGGGCGCAGGCCGGGCTGAGGAACCCTCCCGAGTGCACGAATCTCGTGCACCGGCCCTCTAGTCATATAATAAATGCTACTTATCTGTCTTCTTTCACTTAGCATGTTTTTGAGGTTCATGTACATCGTAACATGTATCCGTATTGTGCTCTTTTTATTGTTGATAGTATTTCATTGTGTGTATGTGCAACATTTTGTTTATCCTTTCATGAGTTGATTGGTTTTTGTATAGCATCCATATTTTGGCCCTTATGATCAGTACTGTTCTGAATATTAGCATACAAATTTTTGTGTGGAAATGCTTTTATTTCTCTTGTGTAGATTCTTAAAAGTTGAATTGCTAAGTAGTGTGGTAAACATGTAACTATTTAAGGAACTGCCAAATTTTTCCAAAGTTGCCAGTTTCATTTCCACCAGCAATTTATGAAAGTCCAGTTTCTCTACATACTTGGTAATACCTGTTATTTCTTATCTTTTTTATTATATCCATTCTAGTGAATGTGAGTTGTTTTTTATTTGCATTGCCCTAATGATTAATGATGTTTGAATAGCTTTCCATTCACATATTTTGTTTGGTAAAATGTTTTTCCAATAATTTGCTCATTTTAAAAATGGGTTGTCTTTTTCCTGTTGAATTGTAAGAATTCTTTATATATTGTAGACTTAAGTCTTTGGCAGAATATATGATTTACAAATATTTTCTTTGAGTCCCTGGTTTGTCTTTTCATTTTCTTAATGGGATCTTTTGAAGTACAAAAGTTTTACAATTTTATGAAATGCTATTTATCTATTTTTTAAATTTTTATGAATTATATTATATAGTTGATTTAGTATTGAGTCCTAATTAGACATGCCTTGCAAGAAATGTTAAAAGTTCCTTAGAGAGAAGGAAAATGATCCAGGTAAAAAACTCAGATCTATATAAAGAAGGGAAGAGCGTTAAAAAAGGGGAATAAATGGAGGTAAAATAATGTTTTATTTTTCCTTCTTCTTACTTGACCTAACAGCAAATAGTTTGTTCAAAATAATAATAGCAATAATGCACTCAGTGATTATAGCTTATGGATTAGTAGAGTGAATTGACAGCAATGTGATAAGGGACAGGAGGGAGGACTTAGATATACTCTGTTATAAGGTACTTGCACGACCCATGAAGCAGTAGAGTATTATTTGTAAGTTGACTTTTATTAGTTGTAAAGGTATACTGTAAACTCTATGGAAACCAATAAGAAAATTTTAAAAAGAAGTATAACTGATATGCTGAGAGGAGAGAAAATATAATCACATAAATTACTCAGAACAAAACAAAAGGCAGGAAAAGAGTGGAATACAAAAAAAAAAGAAACAAAGGACAAGGGTAACAAATGGAAAACAGACAACTTCTCGGCCACTGTGGGTTGTGGGGTAGTGTGAGGGTAAACTCTAGGAAATACAGAGTCCCAGTGCTCCTTAAAAACCTGCGTTAGAAAAAAAGATGGCGCCTACTGGTGCTTTCCCTCTTTAAAATGCCTAACTCTTCAGAGAACTGGAAATGGCAGTTCCCACTGTGAAAATGCTTTCTGAGACTGCATCCGAGTGGAATCTGATGCTTACCATCCTGTAACCCAGGCCATAGACCTTGGAGCTTCTGAGTCCAGAAGCCTAGAGATGGTGCAGTCATTTCTGCCACATTCGCCTTTCCCTCCAGGGAAGATAAGGGTGTAGGACTGGGTTCTCTCTGCTACGAGTGTAACTCCAGTCAATAAGAGGGCTTTTCCCTTTGAAGGCTCTTCTCTTGCTACCATGTATCACAGAGTGGCCTGGGGACCACCTGAGTCAGAATCACCTGGAAAGTCTGCGGAAGAGGGACATTCCTGGGTCCTGCCAGAGAACTACTGAATCGGACTCCGAGAGCGAGTCCAGGAATCTGCATTGCTAGCAGATGCCACCAGTGAGTCTTACGCACACTGACGTTTGAGAGCCACTGTTTTAATATAGGGTTCCTTTAGAGTTGGGGATAGGGATGGGCTGGGGAAGGTTCCTCCCTTTTATGTTTTGGGCCAATTTATTGCTAGGAATATTAGTTCCCTAACCACCTGCTAAATATATCTGCTAATCAAATAGAGTCATGCTCAAGGATATTTGTTGAAAAATTACTTGAGGAGCGTGATGCATCCTTAAGATCTGTGATAAACATTTTGATTGTCTAACCTAGAGTGTAGCTTTATTCTAAATACGTTTTTAAAAATTTTATAGTCTGTATGTCCTGTGTGCAGAATAGCTGTCATTTTAAAATGGTGGGCGTAAAACAAGCCAAACTTTGCTTAGATGGAAGGCTTGCTCTAATGAAGACCATCAAAAAATCACTTGAGCTTCCATGTCAGTTAAATTGGGCTTAAAGAATTCCTGCAAGAGAAAAATAAATGGTTGAAAACATAAGTAGCTATAGAAAACATAAATCCAAAACAAACCAAGAAACCTAACACAGAGTTGTGATAAGGATAAAAACATTAACATGTGTCAGCACATTCTACATGTGAGGTTGGCCTAAGGAGAGGGGAACTGAGAGAAAGGGGCAGTGGCTAGGATAAACCAGAGAGGAAAAAGATGAGCTGGCTCAGAACATCAAGATCTGCTCATCAAGCCCTCCCAAGAGTCAGGACACTAAAGATTTTGAGAAATAAAAAGGTCAGCTGCAAGACAGAAGGTAAGAGAAAGGGGACTTTTACTGGTTCTTCAAGTACTGGGTCAATGGGTTACACGTATACTACATTATGCTACCATACTACTTTATAGGGGCATCGTTAAACTCTAACATTTGTATCCAAAGTCCTTTTCAGATTGTACCATTCAGAAGGGAGGCAAAGTGCTCTACCCATACATTTGTTAGTGGTGTGTGTGTGTGTGTGGCATGCGTGTGTTTATTTGGTGTGTATATATGTTTGATGTACATGTGTGCATGTATTTTTTGTGTGTACATGTATACAGCTGTGAAAGCACAAGAGTATGTATGTTATAGGTGCATGGATACGACTGATCAACTCTCAGTCTATGACTTACCTTGCACCTATCCAAACCGGGGTATGCCCTCACAGGCGTACTGTCACTCTGGAAATGGAATGAAATGTTAGATATGCCTTTTCTCCTCAGCGGGGAGGGGTGGGGAAGAGAGAACACACACACACACACACACACACACACACACACACACACACACACAGAAATTCTCCTAACTTTCAGGGTCAGATCAGTTGGAGGGAGTCAGTCCTTGCCCCCTGCCCTCTCTATTCGGCAAGGCCAGGACGAAGGCAAAGCTCTAACAAGAAGGAAGGAAGAACTGAAGACCTCCTCACAGACTGTCATCAGAAACTCATTCTGGTTGCTTTGGAAAGATAAGGTCTTTTTCTAAGACGCACCTGAAGAATTAGGCTTAACGTTTATAAGAGATAGTCCACCTGCACAAAAATAAGAGAAATAAGGGACACAGTGAAGCAATCATCAGCAAAGTCCTCTAAAATAAACCTGTGATGGAAGATAACAAACAACGTGTAAGCAAAAAGCAAAAATTACCCATGAACAACTTCTTTTCTATTTCTTCTTGAACTTTAAGAAGAATCCTTTCCTGTTCTAAGGCTTCTATGTACTTCGAGTAGCACCAGGATGGCTAGAAAAATGATTTTCAGAGTCAATTTTAGAAATGTTTGCCCCAGAGAATAAATTGAAGGTAAGATGATAACTTATATCAGCCCCTTCATTTGAACACCTTATTGCAGTATAACCCATATGATAAAATGTGCACATATCACAACTTATTATAAAATTTCACAAGTGGAACTTAACCACTTAACCTTTCAACTGGTCACCACAAACTGTTATCAGTCTACCCTACACCATTTTAATAAGAATATTTTGATGGAGTAAAGGCATTTTTTCCTATAGCCTGGACTTAAAATGTTAAATTCCCTCGCCTCAGGTTGGGAGGCTGGTGGGATGTGAGAAGGATGATTCACTACTTCTCAGTAAAACAGTTTCTCAAAAATTTCATAGGTTTCTTGACAGCTATTCAGTCACCGTTATACATTCAATTTGATTATGAACTTATGTGCTTAGGAAAGATCCAAGTTTTTTGTGGGGTAATTTTGCCTTTGGATTAATTACAATTCTTCAATTTGTAAAATTTATCTGAAAGAAATGCATGTGTAGAGCATCCCACACATACTAAATGGCAGTGTGTTATTATTTTAACAATTCCTAGTGTAATTCAGCATCTATACATTAACGAGCAATAATGAAAATAATAATAATAATAATAATAATAATAATAATAATAATAATATATATAAAAGCCAAGTGACCAGAATGACAGAACAACCAGAATGACTGCAATGACTGGTCGCTATGATGTGCACTGCAGCGGCCAACAGGCCTGATTGTGGACCCAATTGACCTCCCCAAACTGCCTGCGGCCCCTTCCCCTGGCCAGCCATGGCCCCTCCCCCCAGCTGGCCCCGCCCATGATCGGCCCCCATCTGGGTGAGCTGGCTGGACCCCACCCATGCATGAATTTGTGCACCAGGCCTCTAGTTTATATTTATAAAAATGCCTTTGGTTTCCAAAAGCATTTAGTTTCTTAATCTTAGATATATGACAATATCATCATCATCATCATCATCATCTTTTTCTTTTGAACAGCTAAGAAAATAGCCTCAAAGGAGATTAAGTCATTTCTTCCAGGCTTCAACGTGATACTGACTTGCAAGTGTCAGAGTAAAAATTAGAAGTCTGGTATCTCTAATTCCATATTTCCCCCTTTATTTTTACTCTGTGTTTCTGAAATGTAACACTAGTCATTTGCTAATAAATATACTTCCAAATGTCATTGTTAGGTATCATGCACTTTTAGATGGTTCCAAAAAACTGGACATTTCTCTTCTTTCAATAAAAGCTTCCTAGCCTATCAGTAATCTTAGCGGGGTAGCTGAACCTACTTGACATTGCTGAATACCAAAAAGATTGATTCCCAAGCTAATAGTATTTAAGATGCAATCACTTTCAATCGAAGTCATTCAAAACGGACATAAATTAAACTTCTAAAATTTCAGGGAAGTGATGTTAATGGTCAAGTTATACATGAAAATATATATATTAGTTGATGGTCATGTACTGGCCAATTTTACAATCACTTCAAATAATTTAAAAATTGAGACAAAGCATTTGCCATTCATCTTTCCTCTCTTAACCCAAAAATATAGGAACTTATATATATTTAACTTTTTTCTGTATCTGCCCTATTCTCTCTTTTCTGATAAGATAGTCACTTCAATTTCTGCCTCTTAAATCTTCACATGTATCAAGAAGTTATTTTTCTTGATTATATTATTCAAGATCAGCTGGCATTTTAATGTCCTCTGGAGGCTCAAGGAAATTTCCTTCCCATCTCTTCTATGATTACAATTTTAGCCTCATTTTCAAGCAAACACACCTCTACTACTGTAAAGTTTCCAAACGACTGCTTCCCACCACCCAGCGCTCTGCAGAAGTGATGCCCGTGGCGTCTCTCTTGCTTACCTGTCGGCCATATGCTTGCAGGATTAGAGATTGGTCACTGAACAAATCAGATGGTTTCACAGGAGATACTGGAACTTGTTCAGGTTGTTTGAATCCTTCCTGTAATTATATTAAGTTATTCCCCCAAAGGGGTAATTAATTAATATAAACTTACAGTTAAGGAGTCATAATAGCTGGTGAAAAAACACTGTGTGGTGAGCACCACACTTGAGGTTTCATCAAGTCAATATCACTAATGTGACATAATCTTTATTTTTCTTTCATATTAATATAAAAACATTAAAAAATAATATTGTGCCGAAACCGGTTTGGCTCAGTGGATAGAGCGTTGGCCTGCGGACTGAAAGGTCCCAGGTTCGATTCCAGTCAAGGGCATGTACCTGGGTTGCGGGCATATCCCCAGTAGGAGGTGTGCAGGAGGCAGCTGATCGATGTTTCTAACTCTCTATCTCTCTCCCTTCCTCTCTGTAAAAAATCAATAAAATATTTTAAAAAAAATAATATTGCTTTCATCTATAATAATAAAAGCATAATATGCTAATTAGACCGGACAGCCAAACGATCTTCTGGACATCATCCCGGACATCCTTCTGGACCACCTTCTGGATGAAGCTGTGGCAGCGGGGCCGAGGCAAAGGCAGCTCCCCATCGGGTAGGGGCAGAGGCAGCTAGAGGCGATCAGGCAGGCAGGTGAGCGGTTAGGGGCGATCAGGCAGGTGGGCGAACGGTTAGGAGCCAGCCGTCTCAGATTGCAAGAGGGATGTCCGACTGCCTGTTTAGGCCCAATGCTGATTGGGCCTAAACCAGCAGTTGGACATCCCCCGAGGGGTCCCAGATTGTGAGAGGGTGCAGGTTGGGCTGAGGGACCCCCCTCCCCACCATGCACAAATTTTGTGCACTGGGCCTCTACTATTAATATAAAAATACTAAAAATAAATGAGAGAAATCATGAGGTAGAATGTAAAAATCACCCCCAAATTTTAGCATCCAAGAAAAACCACTACAGACATTTTCATTAATATCCATTTAAATTTCTCACTAGGGAAATGCACAGATTTAATCTATAATGATGTTTCTCTCTCATTGATGTTTCTATCTCTCTATCCTTTTCCCTGCCTCTCTCTCTAAAAAAAAAAAAAAAATCAATAATATATATAAAAATATATATATATATATATATATATATATATATCCTATCTAATAAAAGAGAAACATGGTAATTAGCATACGACTGCTACCCTTTCCATTGGCTAATCAGGGCAATATGCAAATTAACTGCCAGCCAAGATGGCGGCCGGCAGCCAGGCAGCTTAACGTGAACATGAGGCTTGCTTGCTTCAGTGACGGAGGACTCCAACGTTCCCTGCCTGCCACTGCCGGCCTCTGAGCTGCAACTCTAAGAACTATGTTACAAATATAGAAGCTAAACAAAACCCCAGAAACCTGCTTTAGTCCATCAGGCTTCAGCGAGCAGAATCACAGCATTGTTTCAAATACAGAAGATAAACAAAGGCCAGAAACCTGCTTTCAGCAGCGGAGGCCTAAGAGCTGGAGCCAAGCCTTAAAGCTAAAGCTGGCCCAGAATAAAAAAAAAGAAAAAAAGGAGCAGTTGGGAGCTTCAGTCACTCGCCAGCCTGAAAACAGCCCTCAGCCCCTCACCCAGACTGGCCAGGCACCCCAGTGGGGACCCCCACCCTGAAGGGTGTGTGACCAGCTGCAAACAGCCATCATCCCCTCACCCAGGCTGGCCAGGCACCCCAGTGGGGACCCCCACCCTGATCCAGGACACCCTTTAGGGCAAACCAGCCAGCCCCCACCCGTGCACCAGGCCTCTATCCTATATAGTAAAAGGATAATATGCCTCCCAGCACCGGGATCAGCGGAGCCACGAGGCCTCCCGGCACTGGGATCAGCGTGACAGGGGGCAGCGCCCAAACCCCCTGATCGCCCTGTGGCTCTGTGTGTGACAGGGGGCAGCGCCCCAACCCCCTGATCGGCCCTGCTTTGTGTGTGACGGGGTAGAGCCATAACCTCCCCATCGGCCCTGTCCTGAGTGTGAGAGTGGCGGTGCCCCAACCCCCTGATCGGCCCTGCTCTGTGGGTGATAGAAGGCGGCGTCCCAACCCCCACCCCACAGGCCCTGCTCTGTGTGTGATGGGGTAGAGCCATAACCTCCCCATCAGCCTTGCCCTGAGTGTGACAGTGGCGGCGCCCCAACCCCGATTGGCCCTTCTCTGTGGGTGATAGAGGGCAGCGCCCCAACCCCCTGATCCGCCCTGCTCTGTTTGTGACAGGGGGCGGTGCCCCAACTCCCCTATCGGCCCTACTCTGTGATAGGGGGGAGCTCTCCAACCCCCTGATGGGCCCTGCTCTGTGCGTGACAGGGTACGGAGCCCCAACCCCCCGATGGGTCCTGCTCTGCGCGTGACAGGAGGCAGCGCCCCAACCCCCTGATTGGCCCTGCTCTGTGATGGGGGGGAGCTCCCCAACCCCCTGATCGGCCCTGCTCTGTGCGTGACAGGGGGCAGCGCCCCAACCCCCTGATCAGCCCTGCTCTGTGCATGACAGGGGGTGGCGCCGCAACCTCCCCATCGACCCTGCCTTGAGTGTGACAGGGGGCGGTGCCCCAACCCCCCAATCGGCCCTACCCTGAGCATGACTGAGGGTGGCATCGCAACCTCCCAATCTGCCCTGCTCTGTGCATGACAGGGGGCGGCGCCCCAACTCCCCAATCGGCCCTGCTCTGAGCCCGACCAGGGGCTGCACCTAGGGATTGGGCCTGCCCTCTGTCACCCGGGAGCGGGCCTAAGCCAGCAGGTCGTTATCTCCCGAGGGGTCCCAGACTGCGAAAGGGCACAGGCCGGACTGAGGGACCCCTCCTCCCCTCCCCCCCAAGTGCACAAATTTTAGTGCACCGGGCCTCTAGTCTACACTAATAAAAGAGAAACATGCAAATTGGTGTCACTCTGTTATGCCCACCAGCCAATCAGAGTGACTAGAGTGACTATGCAAATTAACCCAACAAAGATGACAGTTAATTTGCATATGCAGATGCAGAGTGAAGACCTAAGGCTCCGGCCTGAGTGGAGACTGAAGACTGAAGAAGCCAAGCCTCACTGCGGCCAGAACAAAGGCCTGGGTACCATGTTTCAGAGGAAAACCGGTGCTGGCAGCCAGGGGGAGGAAGGCCTATTGTGCGAATCTTCATGCAACGGGCTTCTAGTATATATGTATGTGTGTGTGTGTGTGTGTGTATATATTTTATATATATATAAAATAGAGTAGGCATAAGCTTATAAATAAGATAAAATACATTATTGGGGAGCAGTTATCCCTCTTCAATTCAAATAGAGAAATAGAAAGAAAGATGGGCAGATGGGTGAGTGGACAGACTAACTTATAAATAGGCAGGCTGAACAATTTGTGATTCATATTTACAAATTTCACCATCAATGTATACGTCTGTAATTATAATTCTAAAGTGCTGCCCTCAGTACATACTATTTGTTCATTCATTCACCCATTCATTTAGTAAACAATTGTTAATAACTGCATGTGTGGGAGACACTGGTGTAAGTGCTTATGAGACACAGATGAGTAAGACAGATACTATCCTTAAGAATCTCAGTCCAGTGAGGACAACAAATGCAAAAACTTACTCACAAGACCATATAACGTGCTCCCCAAGAGAGGTTCCTACAAGTGACTACAGTGGACGTGAGTTCTTAAGTTGCCCAGGAGACTATCAAGGAAGCCTTCCCATAGAAAAGGCGACATTGGAGATGAATTTTAAGGAACTCAAAACCAAGTCTGAAACCCCTAACTAAAGGCTTAAAGGTCCCTGAAGTTTGTCTTCTGTCACTTTGCTGGATTTTTCGCTGGCCCAAGTGTCTCTACAAATGGCTTTTATCCGTCTGACTAAACCCAAAATGAGTCTGGTCTCACCTTTGTAATTCTTTCCTCTTCTACGATTGTCGACCTCTTTCTCTGCCTATGAAATTCTTTTCTTCTCTCTAACGCACTCATAATTTTTTCATCAGTTAGGTTCTTCCTAAACTCACAAAACTGAGGCCAAAATTTAAACAGAACTCCAAAAATTGTCATCTGTATAAAAAAACAAAGCATGTCTCAGGTTACAATGTTATACAAATGTACCGTTTTAAACTCTAACTCACCATAATAATGGATTAACTATTGCATCTTTAATATACAGCATGTTTCCTCCAACTTATTGTCGCCAGACATCTTGGTATAGTTTAGCTCGGCACATGCTTATCATCAATTTTTTTTACTACCAACGAGAAGTCTTTCTTTAAAAAAAAAAAGAATTCTTAAAATACACTTAAAGGTCACTTTATTCTTTATGTTTCCCTAACCCATTGATTGTATGAATAAAGAATCCATTAGGTCTTTTTTTTTTTTAATAAGGAATTTATGTTTTCTTTTAAAGCATATACTAGCGGATCTGCCACACACTGCTGTTTTATGCAAGTATTCCAAATATTCAGTCCATCAAGGGAACTCCTCTCCCCTCGCCCCTTTTCTTTCTTTTTAGAGAAAGGAAATACCATTTACCTCTGGAAAAGCTCTTAAACAAAGCTGCAGATCTAAGAATAAATCTTGAGTAACTTTTAAATGATACAATCTCTCTTTTATGTGAGAGCAAGAAAAGTAACATTTAAAAAGCCGAGTGGTATCCTGGACAAGTGCTTTCTATGAGGACACTCCACAGCAAGTGATTAATTGTGATATTTATAGAGATAAGAATTGTTGCTCCAACTCCCCTGCCAAGTCTTTCCATTAGTTCCAGAGGCAGACATTACTTCCAAGAAGGTAGGACTTGCCACATCAGATCAAGCCCAACATGTTGTTGCTAGGAATGGCCTTTCCCTAATGCCCTGGAGGAAAATGAACCATCCCATTAGGCTTGGAGCCAGCTCTTGTGAGGAAAAGAAGACTTTTTTAGAGAGTAAAAGCTGCGGTGATCAGCAGAGTCCTGAATCAGTCATGTTTCATGACTCCTCTTTTCTGCACGTGGATATTATTAGTAATTCTAAAATTTGTCACCGAATCCTGTTAGCCTCTTGGGATTGTGAACACAAAAGCCAGAGATACTCTACTCAATAAAATGCAGGCCTTTAACTTTTTTCATTTACCTGCCACGTAGTTAATTTAATAATCCCCTGCTCCGCTCTTCAGGGGCCATGATAGCTTTCCTGTGAACTTCTTACGCTTAAATACCCCTTCCCTATCTACCAACTATTGACCCTACTTTTTAGGGATCTCTCCAGAACCTGAGTCGTTCTCTAATACATGTATCTAGAAGGCCTTCCGGTAAAAGTCACCTAATTAACACAGAACCTTTCAAAGGCAGACATAAAATTGCTTTTTTTTTCTTCTTTTTTTTAGAGGGAGTGGGAGAGGGATAAAGAGGTGGAAACATGGATGAGAGAGAAACATTGATCGCTGCCTTTTGCAGGCCCCCTACTGGGGATTGAGCCTGCGACCTGGACATGTGCCCTGACTGGACATGGAATCAAACTAGTGACCTCTTGGTTCATGGGGTGACACTCAACCATTGAGCTACACTGGCCGGGCCAAATTGCTCCATTTCTGAAAGTCGTAATTAAAGATGTTAGGTTAATAACTTACGTGTTATTCATGAAACTTACGCAGCCTTAAAAGATAACCAAACTGCCGAAACCGGTTTGGCTCAGTGGATAGAGCGTCGGCCTGCGGACTGAAAGGTCCCAGGTTCGATTCCGGTCAAGGGCATGTACCTGGGTTGCGGGCACATCCCCAGTGGGAGATGTGCAGGAGGCAGCTGATCGATGTTTCTCTCTCATCGATGTTTCTAACTTTCTATCTCTCTCCCTTCCTCTCTGTGAAAAATCAATAAAATATATTTAAAAAAAAAAAAAAGATAACCAAACTGTGGCTAAGACATTGTTTTTAGTAAATATGGAGCTGCCCTAACTGATCTGGCTCAGTGGGTGGAGTGTCGACCTGTGGACTGAACAGTCCCAGGTTCGATTCTGCTTAAGGGCATGTACCTTAGCTGCGGGCACAACACCAGTGAGGGGTGTACAGGAGGCAGCTGATCAATGTTTCTCTCTCATCAATATTTCTAACTATCTCTCTCCCTTCCTCTCTGTAAAAAAATCAATAAAATATATTTAAAAACAAAAACAAAAAACTTAAAAATAAGTATGGAGCTATTTTGCTCACTGCCAGCAGATAGACAATGGCTTTAGTGTGAGTAAAAAGGTCCAGTGATAAGGACTTTGGCTGAGGGATGAGGGATGCGGGTGGGGAAAGCAGAGGATACACTGATAACAATCCTAAAACAGGTAAATTTACTAGTTAGCCCTTCTCTCAACTTTGCTCGCGTTTCCAACTTGGTCTTACTCCTTTCTGCTGCGATAGCTCTCTTCTCACATCGTTCATTCCCACGTTCCAAGATGCTATTGGTGTTGCCTCTGTGCCAGGTGTTCAGGACGCAAAGGAAACTGGGAAACAGGCCCTGCCCTCAACGACCTCCCAGTCTGATGGGAAAGTCAGGCATGGGAACGGTGCTTTTCAATTCTGTGGAACAAGTGTTCTGACAGGGACAAGCACCGGATAGCATCACAGCGCACGGAGGAGAAGAGGATGAGCCCAGCGCTCAGGAGGGAAGAGAATGAGGCCGCCGACAGGACCATGAGGTGAGATTGGGAGAGAAGCGGTCAGAGATGTGGTTGGAGACATGTAGGAAGGCGCACGGTCTCCCTTCTGGAGACCATGGGGAGCAACTGTAACTGAGAGCAGAGAAGTGACATGACCAGATGGACTTTTTGAAAAAGACGGCTCTGTCTGCAGGGAGTTAAATGGTTTCGAGAGAGCCCGGAGGCGGGGGCCTGGGGTCATCACTGTGAGACTTGGCAGGTGGGACTGAGGCAGTCACATGAAGTTGGAGAGAAGTAGGTAGAATGACAGAGAACAGGGAGACAGAGGGATACATTTCAGGGAATGAAGGTCTGGCGGCCAGGGCATGGAGGCAAGGGGGGCGTGGAGACGGTGCCCGGGCCTCTGACCATTCTCTGAGCTTTCTGAGGAGACACAGGAGGAGTAACAGAGTTGGTGGGGTAAGGCCCCTAAATAAATGTTCTCTTACGGGCCGGGGACTCCTTTTCGGAAATCAGGTAGAAGGCGTAAAGGAGAGGACTCCCCTGGACACTGCGAACGGACTGGCGTGTGCAGCCCCAGGCCTTCCCGCCCGGCTCAAGGCCTCTGATGCATCGGGCGGCCGGGCGTGGGGCCTGGTTATCGGCAGACCCGGGCCCAGGCCCGGCTGCGTGATCTCTCAGATCCCTTCGTTCACAGACGCCCCGATTCTGGCACCACGTTTTCTCTGTTTCTCTCTAGCACATCCTCAATCATTCCTCGATATTTTCGCCGATTTTAATGCACAATTTGGATTGTGAGTCCACTTTCAGTCCCTTGGAGGACTTAGAGCACAGCTGGCTCACAAATGCATGTGAAGGAGTAATGGCCTCTTTCCATGCTCAAGGGCAATCATACCCCAAATCTCTGTTTCATATCACTTAAGTCATGACATGGCCTTCCCTATTACCTCTATTATAATTTATTTTTCTTAATCATTTTTCAGGAACAACATCGGTAAAAGGCTTTTCAAAATGCAAATAAATTATGTTCATCAAATCGCTGTTTTCTATTATTTATCTTAAGAAGAAGTAATGTGAGCAGGTTAACAGGCATGACTTTCCTTTCATGAGCTTGTGTACTTTATGTTGGTCGGGTACTTAAATCTCCTCTCGCTTATTTTATGAGCGACGTGAATATTCCAATCTTTAAAAATACACAGACCTTGGGACACACACATGCCACACGTTTTTGTGGTAGCGGATATTTTAAAAGGGAATAGGAATGGTGGGAAAGGAAGGAGGACTTAGCTTGTTTTCTACATTAGAAACAAAAAATGGTAACCATGCAAAGTCTAAGTGTAGTATTTAATAATTTTATTTGTTGTGCAGAATCAACAACAAGATAGTCAATTGCTAGTTTCTTACGTTCTGTGGCATATGAAAAGTTGCTTTTTCATTACCTAGGATCAATCCCAGTGTTAGGATGATTGAAGCCCTGCCAAATATGAATAATGCAAAAAGCTTTACGAGAACACCTAGGTTGTCAATCTATTTAAACTGATAAGAACAGATACTACACTTGATCTTAGCCAAAAGGTCGAGAAGCGATGTGTCAATCTATTTAAAAGTATGCTTTAGCCACATGCCCCGATCGCTTACCTGTGCCTCTCTGAATACATATGGTCCTAACTCCTTCCTGTGTTCAATAATCTTCTGGGCTTGCTCCATTGGGATGTCTATTTGTAAAGCTGGTGGAATGCTGGAGTTAATAAAGCAGTTGATAATAGTCATGACCTTCCTGTGGATGATAGACTCATCACAATGGGAGTGGCACAAGTCCTGGACAAGGGGGATAGATAGGACAATATATGATTAACGGATTATTAGAACACTTTATAGAGTTGTGCCAATATGTCTTTCAGCTAATATATACTTTTTTAAAAACTGATTTTGAGAGAGAGAAAGAGGAAGACAGAGAGAGAGAGAGAGAGAGAGAGAGAGAAGCACTGATTTGTTGTTTCACTTATTTATGCATTCATTAGTTGCTTCTTGTACATGCCCTGACTGAAGGCCAAACCGGCAACCTTGATGTATTCAGACAAGGTCTAATATATACATTTTAACTTCAGGTCAAGAGGGTACTGGGACATGCGAAGGCTATCTTAAAATATCATAGCTTTTATTTCTCTTGGGTTTGAGGAACCTAAGTCTTTGATGGATATACCTCACGTAAATACAGGTTTCATTTTAATCCTTTCTCCTATGCAAAGGAACAGATCTAGTGTCGACTTCGACTTACTTGGCAAATTTATGTTGAGTGCCTGCTATATGCCAGACACTGAGCTGAGCCCCACTTACAGTACCTGGCCTTTAAAAGGCCGATTTCTACTGGAGGAGAAGCATGGCAACGCTACTCCAATTTGAGGTAGTTGGTAAGCGCTCTGATAAAAGCATACACAGCGTTCCAGGAGAGCACTGAGAACAGGCACCCAACTCAACTGACAGGTGGCTACAAAAGCTTTCTCAACCATAACTGCTTCTACAGCACGGGGACTTGGGCTCAAAAAGGCCAGCTACCTAAGCTACGTGCTGGTGGTGACAGGTGTGTCAGTACGCATCTATAGTTTTTCAATTAACCTATTACCTTATCCTCTTTATTGCTAAAGAACTTAAAAATAGTGATCGTGCATTTAAAAGATCTAGTTTTATGTCACAGATGTAGGGCTATCATTTTTTTAAAAAATAAAGAGGTAGCTTAGCTTGAATTATGGCATTTGTCTGTCAAAGACATTGTTCTCTAAATCACTAGAAAGTACACATATTTGGAAATAATTCTAGGGCAGAAATGAGCCAACATTTATTAAGTACTCACTGTATGATGGACATTGTAATAACATGTCTTATGGATACTATTAAAGAAAATTCTAGTGCTTGCCATATAAAACTTCACATACAGTTTGGCATAAGTTGCATGTGAAGAAAGCTTGTTATGTTACATTGAGACAATGGTTAGCATTTTTTTACTCAATTTAGTATTCCTTCCAAAAATGCCTATTTATACCACGCTTGGCATATTACCAAAAATGTATTTTTTGCCATTACTAGTGAGATTATCATAATAATTATTGGGTGAGCCTGGTTTGTAACTATAAAATATGAGGTTTATGAAATAAAAAAAAATTTGAAGTTTAATTTTGAGATGAAGGGAGAGTATTTAGACAATGAAAACTGATTTTTTTCCTAATTGCTCTTTCTATTATACCACTGGCCTAGTGAACGTTTACCTGTCATAAAAGTCTCTGGGTAAGCACACCTCCCCTAATGAGCTTACTGTGGCTCCCTCAGCCCAGGGGAGATGTCCACCGTAGGCACTTGCTAACCTGTGCTTCTCCCACCATTGCACTAAGCACGCTGCTGTGATTGCCGTGTCTGCCACCTGTCTGAGAGGGAAGACTGTGCTGGTCACAGCTGACTCCTCAGGACTTAGCATGGCCCTTGGTAGGTGCTCAATAAGTATCTATTGCATGACCATCTGCGTCCAGTCTTTTCTCTATGGAGACACACTTTAGATGAAATCATACTGTTTTCTAGTAGCTGGGTTTTTAAAAAAAAAATCAATAAAATAAGTATCTTTCCCATCATTGATTATTCTCCTACAGCACATTTTTAATGGCTGCAGAGTATTCTATTGTATCATAACTAAGTAACCAATGTCCTGTTGTTGAATATTTGGGTTCGTTCTAATTTTTCACAATTCAGAACAATTTGATTAAGGTCACTGTAGCCATCTCTTTGCATATTACTACAGTCATCACTGGGAGGGAGTATAACTTAGTGGATAAGAGCATGAGTTTTAGCAACACAATGCCTTGATTCAAATTCCAGCTCTACCACTTAATTAGCTGTATGATGTCAGGAGTTTCTTAACTTTCCTGTGCCTTAGCTTCTTCATCCATAAAATAGTGAGAATAACAGCTCTGGCCTCATAGGATTCTTTTTCCTTCTTTTTTTTTTTAATGGAGATTAGCAGTATTCACTTAAAAAAAAAATCATGACCTGAGGATTTGTTTATTGATTTTAGAGGGGAAGAAGGAAGGGAGGGAGGGAGGGAGGGAGGGAGGGAGGGAGGGAGGGAGGGAGAGAAGGAGGGAGGGAGGAGAGGGAGAGAGTGAAAAAAAAAATCCATGTGAGAGAAAAACATCAATCAGCTGCCTCCCCCACACGCCTCAACTGGTGATCCAACCTGAAACCTAGGTATGCGCCGTGACAGGGAATTGAACCCACAACCTTTTTGGTGTTATGGGATGACACTCCAATCAACTGAGCCACCTGGCCAGGGCTCATAGGATTCTTATGGCGATTAAATTAGTTATGACATGAAAAGCATTAAGACACTATCTGGCAGATAGCAAACAGTAAGAGTAAACCATATAAAAGTGAGCTCAGTAGGACTTTGCTAGGTGGAATGCTTTCTACCTGGCAAATTCCCTCACGACCCAATCCTAGTATTATTTCATCTACGGACACTTCCCTGACCTACCACCTTCCCTGCCTCATTCCCTCCTCTGTGGGAACACCTAGTTAGAGCATAAGTCATAATCAATACTGTGGATTTTCACAGACGTCTCCCTTCCTGCAGAGGGCAATGTGTTATATTCACCTTTTTTATTCCTACAGTCCAGCATCATGGCTAGTACATTACATACTTAAGAAATGCTTACTGAATGAACAAATTCACTCCTATAGCATGATTTTTAATAGCTACTTACTATTATACGTCCTCCATCCTATGATACAGAAAAGATACCTAAATGAAGGCCAAGGGCAGCCTTGAAGAAGGAATAGTCACAAAATTAAGGGTTGACTATGTATGAGACTATGTTTTTTTAAATACTTATTTTGGAAGGTTTATCTCATCACCTCTTGTCTTAACAAGGTTGGGCTTACTCAGATTCATATTAGCTTGAAGATACTTCTACCCATACATAATTGCCTATTTTGGAAAACAAACTACCTCCTTTCTAATTCTCAAAAAGATATTTTAATATTACTTATCTCATGACAAATTTTGAAAAAACTTATCTCTAAAACTTTTTTTTTCCTGAGAAAATTTCTAAGCTGTGAATAATACAAAAACTGTTGTTAGCAGAAAAGCATGGAAAACAATTTCGTGGTATGTTGGAGAAAGTTTAGAAATAGATTTTATTGAGCAACTACTAACTATACGGAATATATATGGAGTAGAGTAGTCATGCTACATAATACATATTTATACGCCATTTGAAAGCATTATCCTCTTAAATTCTAGTTTTATTTTTACTCCCTCCTTTTATAGTGGGAATGAACCTGCTACCCCTGGAGTGTTTAAGCGGCGGCTGCATACCTGCTCTTAGGTATTTCTAGACAACATTCCTGTATCCAAGTCTGGACTGTATAACCTACAAAGCCCTCTCCCCCTTTTCAATGCAAAGAGTCTATATGATTTTATTAAACACTTAAACCTGAAAATAAACTGCTTTTTGAAACTAAGCACTTGTTTTTTCACTTTTTTAAAAAAGATTTTTAAAAACATGTTTACTGATTTCAGAGAAGTGAGAGGGGGAGATAGAAACATCATTGATCGGCTGCTTCCTGCATGACCCCTACTGGGGACCACGCCAGTAACCTGGGCATGTGCCCTGCCCCTGTAACTTGAACCATTAACTCCTGGTTCATGGGTCGACGCTCAGCCACTGAGCCACACTGGCTGGGCTCACATTTATTTTGTTAAGAATCTCGCCATTTGCCCTGGCTGGTTTGGCTCAGTGGATGGAGCGTTGGCCTGTGGACTGAAGGGTCCCAGGTTTGATTCTGGTCAAGGGCACATGCCTGGGTTGTGGGCTCGATCCCCAGAGGGGGGCGTGCAGGAGGCAGCCGATCAATGATTCTCTCTCATCATTGATGTTTCTCTCTCTCTCTCTCTCTCCCTTCCTCTCTGAAATCAATAAAAATACATTAAAAAAAGTTTAATAAAAAAAGAATCTTGCCATTTTCTAACAGGAAAGCTTCTCTCATCTCTGTTGGTTTATTTATCTATAATCCACTATCTTTGATTACTCTTGCTGTAAATATGGTTGGGAATTCTTATAAAGAAGTCTTGGTTGAAGTACTGAATATGGACACCTTCAGGGGAAGATGTATATAGTACTTTTATAAATAAGTGATATGCAAAAATATAGTTGAGACTTTTCAAAAAGTTTCTCCTTAGATCATATATGGGACTACCTTTAAGAACCTATACAATCATTTAGGGCTCACTCTTACTCTTCATTGTACAATAATAATGTGTCTAAAATAGAAATATAAACACCTCAATATTCTCCTATTTGTATGAAGGTGGCAAAATTGGGATATATTCTCCATCATGTTCCAGTTCAGAATCAATGTTAATGCATCCCCTCCTCAGAAAAAGGTGGTTTTCTCCCACTCCCAATAAGATACCTTATATTTTTGTACTTCTTGCCAAAAGAGCACCCCATTTTCCAATAAATCTCCTTTTAGAGCCACGAACTGTTGAAATTGATTTGCAGTAACTGGATTCAATAATGCTTTACGGAAAGCAATGATTTCAGAAGATGAAGATATCCATTTACTCTCCACAGGCTGCCCAAATCAGAGAGAACAGAAAATTAGCTGTGTTCTGAAATGTAAACAAAGTCATTGGACTGGAAAATCACCACGTGCTATCTCCTTTACTTTTGACTGTTGACATTGGTGGCCTGGATACAACAGAATCTGGGAACTGCCTCCCTCTGATCCTCTCGCCTCTGTCTCCTTTACGTTTTTATGGCGTCATTTTGTTAAGGGGTAGAGAGAAAAAGAAATGACTGGTTGATTTAGAGCTTATGACTACACTGTTTAAGAATGTTAATTATTACAGGTTGAGACGATGCTGAAAAACTGCATTTTAGTGCTAGTGTGAGTTCTGTGCTTAAATGGGACAAAATAATCATGATGTTATGATTATACATTGTTATATTATTGTTTATGTTATGGTTTCACATATTGTTACATATTAATTCTCCTACCTTTTCAAAAGTAAAAGCAGTTGAACATTTAAGATATTTTTTCAAATTTTTCCAAAAATAACTACCAATTAATCCTATTAATTTAAACAGGAAATTCACTGTGGAGCTTCACTATAATTCTACCCTGGAAAGATCATATATTTTGGTGAACTATCTATATATTATTTTAATAACAAATTGTGATTAAGAATTAATAAGGAGAAATAATTATTAATACATTATTTTTAATAACAGACTTCCTCTGACTAAGGATGCACTTTACATAACAAAAAAGCCTGAAGGAGCCCTGGTGTTTTATTAAAGCCTAAAGGTATTACTTATTTCATATCTTCACAGTTTTAAGATGTCTACTTCTTTTACTTTGACCATTTAGATCACATATTCATCTCTCGTTAGCCTCTTAGATGACAAAAAAAAAACAACATTTTAATGAATTTACTGAATATATATATATATTTATATATATATATATATATTTTTTACTGGATACATTTATTGAAGTTCCCCAAATCCGAGTTTAGCCTACAACCATGCATCATTCCAAAGTCAATGTTTTAGGTGGACCTAGGAATTACAGTAACAAACAAAACACATGATAAATAGCCATTACTGATCATGCATAAAATAAGGTTTATAGACTGTTTCATTCTATGTGATCATCAAAATGAGGCTTGAGAGAGTTATGTAAAAAGTGCTGCGGAAACACGAAGGAAGGAGTAACTAGTTCTGCCTGGAGAAGTAAAAGCGTTACTGAGAAGGGCCTTCAGGACGACATCTGAATTGGAAACTGAAAACTGAAGGCAACTCCAGGCAGTCGAGATGGATGGTGATGCCCTGAACCCAGATAAGGCGAGTAGATGTCTATCACTGTTTCAGTGAGGCACAGGCTGTGTTCTGTGCTCAAGTAGTTAAGACCCTCACCATATGGTTCATATTAAAATTATAGCCCTATAAATAGGAACAACTATGTATTAGAATGGGATGTTTGTTTAAAACCCACTCAGCAAATAACGTTTTAAGACCTGCTTCTTAAGATACTAAACCTTAGTAATTTAACTAAAGCCTGAAATTTTACTGAACAAAAAATAATATATAACGCATAATAATATGAAATATGAGCTTATTGTACTTAGCATGTCAATAAAAACATAGCAAAAGACAAACATAAGAACAGGTTTTCTTTCCTTTCAAGAGGAAAATACAGAAAAAGAGAAGCCTAACATATACATACTCCTCTACTGGTCAGATAAAGTCTTGTCTTTGTTAGTTTGTTAGTTTTTTTCCCTGGGTCTAGTTTAACATTTTATCAAGACTTGTAGAAGGATAAATACCCATAAATTTGTAGGCTCAAAAAGAATACTGTATTTATCACACTTGTTAAGAAGCAAAATAGGCCATTTCTAGTGAGGTATCATATTATGTGATTTAAAAAAACACCAAAATGATAGTATCTTAATTCTTTTAAAGCTAAAATGTAATTCTAAATCAAGGGAGATAACATAAGGTAATTTAACCTGCTGATTCTATTGCATACTTCTTAATCCCTTTGTGTAACCTACTCTCAGTAATAAATATCCTACCAGACGCTGGAATGAACAATTTGTCTCAATAAATCCATCACAAGGAAAACAAATAAAAATACATATTGAGCCCTGGCCGGTTTGGCTCAGTGGCTAGAGTGTTGGCCCTTTGGCCGAATAGTCCCTGGTTCAATTCTGGTCAAGGGCATGAATCTCGGTTGCAGGTTCCATCCCCGGCGCAGGTTGGGGTGCGTGCGGGAAGCAACCAATTGATGTGTCTCCCTCACATTGATGTTTCTCTCTCTCTGTCTCTCCCCCTCCCTTCCACTCTCTCTAAAAATAATGGAAAAAATATTCTTGGGTGAGGATTAACAAAAAAGACGTATTGAAAGTCCAATGGACACTTCTGGGATTGAGCAGGTAAAGGAACTTTCTAAGAAGGCCCTGATACGATCACACTTTCCACTAAATCCCATCAGCCAATTAGAGCAGTGTTGGCAGTCAGTTGGTGGCTTAGAAAACAGTCTACAATGAGGATTTATGAACAAGAAGAGGGAGAAAGATACTTTGACAGAGTAGAACGTACAGGAGGAAGAATATAAAAAATGGTACTTACCTTCCAGATCCCAATTTTCCCTTCACGCTTCGGCAGTAAGAGCTCATCAGTTGCTTCTCTCAGCTGTACCTAAAAGCAAAACCAATGATCTTATGTCAATGATTCAGAATGGCTAAAGTTTTGAAATCATTTAATAATTTATTAGCTTTTAAAAAATGAGGTAGCCCTAGCTAGTAGCCCTAGCTCAGCAGATAGAGCGGAGGCCTGAAGGGTCCTGGGTTTGATTCCGGTCAAGGGCACATGCCCAGGCTGTGGGCTTGATCCCCAGTAGAGGGTGTGCAGGAGGCAGCCAGTCAATGTGTCTCTCTCATTATTGATGTTTCTCTTTCTCCCTCTCTCTTCCTCTCTGAAATATATATATATATTTAAATGAGGTAAAGGTAAGCGTGGATAAGAGATGGGGCAGTTCAGAAGAAAAAGGATCAGCTGTAGAAATGAAAGTTCTGCCCCTGTCCTTGGGCGAGTTACTCAAGTTCTCTGTTCTGAACAGTTTCCTCATCTGCAAAATGGAGACAATGACAGCCAACTGCATTGCCCTAAATGTAGGTGGCACTTCCACTTTGGGTCACATGGAAACTGAATGGATAATTAGGACTTGCCAGATTTGTGTGCTATTATCTAGCCACATTAATTTTAGATGAGTACAAAGGTACGCAATACAGGCAGAAAATACAGAAGATACCTCCTGAGGTTACTGCCGATTGGCACTATTTTTCCTTTCTTGGGACTCACTCCTGCCAAGTCTGTCCTGTGTGACTTTACCTCTCTTCCACAGACAGACCCAGAAGCTGAGCTAGAGACACAGGATGGAGTCACTGCTGAGTCTTTCTGACAGCCTCGGCCTGGCCCCTGACCCTCCTAAAGCCTGGGTGTCAACTCTCCCCCTAAGTGTGTGAGATGCTCCAGCAGCACTTTATAACAAACTAGAGGTCTGATGCATGAAATTAGTGCAAGAGTAGGCCTTCCTTCCCCCAGCTGCCAGCACTGGCTTCCCTCGCAGCCCCAGCTTCATCCAGAAGGTCGTCTGGAAGGATGTCCAGTCTAATTAGCATATTACGCTTTTATTATTATAGATGCTCTCCCTTCTCTTCTGTCTTTGGCTTAAGGTTGCCCAAATCAGCTTATGTTGTTGGCCACCCAATGCTAAGTCAGGAAATAACTGTAAGTTACAGTAAGATTACTGTGGGGAAATGTGGTAAGTTATATTACTAAGTTAAATATCTAAACTTGGCTTTGGACAGAGAACTAGAGTCCGCCTGAAGAAAGGAATGAGGAAATTTGAGTTATTCCAAAGCTTATTTCCAGGAACTAAAGCAAGTCAGCTTTTCTCCATGTTATAAATCCTATGTGCCCAGGTGTGCTGTGTTTTCCATAACTTAAGGTTCTCAGAAGACTAAGGTAAGTAAGCCTCTAAGTGTTTGATAAACTTTTTTTTTGGGGGGGGGGGGGGGATTCTTCCCGATCATTATTAATAGCTTGTGCTTTGCATACTAAAGTCACATGCTCTCTGTCCTTATGTTGTCTTTGTAAAGATCAGGTTTTCCTATTTTTAGGTGTGATAATGACATTTTAAATTATCAAAGTAATATATGCTTCTTATAAAATAAAATAAAGCAAAGAAACAAAAAAAAATCTCATACGACTTTCAAAGTAAAATAAAAATCTTTCTCGTTCCCTAAAGCCATTCCTCTTAGATATTTTTTTCATAAACATAAAAATAGATAGTTGGATGGATGGATGAATGTCTAGAGATAGAAACATATAAATAGATATATAGATGTAAGTATATATAATTGAATTATCTTCTATATACTGTTCTGCATCCTGGTTTTTCCACTCAGATAAAATCTTTCATATCAGCACATGAGGAAATCTCAATTTATATTTTAATATCATTTTATATGAAAATCTGCATGGTTTTTCATAGTATGAAATTCTCATAATTCATTTAAGTATTCCCCCTTGCCCATTTATGTGAGAACTTAATAATAATAATAATAATAATAATAATAATAATAATAATAATATAAAAAACAACTATATTAGTAGATGATATTTCAGTGTTTGCCATGTGCCAGGCACCATGCTAAGAAACTAAACACACACCATTCATTTCATTTCATCTTTACAACTATCTTATGAAGCAATTACTCTTATTAATCCCCCCCATTTTTTTTTAAATGAGAAGACTAAGGTTATAAGACTGAAAGCTGTACAATTAATATATGGCAGTGTTGAGAGTAAAACTTCGGAAGTCTGACGCCAAGAAGTACAATGGCTGGGTCAACTCGTACATGCATTTGAGTTTCGAGAGATACTGTCCATCGCTATCCAAAGGTTATAGTACTAACTTACGTACCTTTATCTTCTGACGTGCTGCAAACGGTTCACTTGCAAGAAACAGTGGCAACCACACATTCTCTAGCCTTCTTAGGACATGCTTCTGAACTTCAACGAAAACAGGCGGGTCCAGCTGCTCATGGAGGGTTCTGCCCCAGCCACCACATAAACTCATGATCTAAGAAAATACAACAAAACAGAAACTGCAAACGTCTGTGTGGGGAAAGAAACACTACTAGTCATGAATTTGTTAATTCACCCGAAACCTTTTGCTGAGCACTGACAGGTGGCACAATTCTCATTTTCTGTAAAGTATCTCCTGGCTCTTTGGTGTATAGAAAGACAGATAACTCCTCTACCACCAATCAGAGAATTGTGAGGTTCCTGGGATGGTTGTTTTGGGTGTGTGATTTTGCTTATGATATATCTCAAAGAACACAGGAATGGGGTTTTTGTCCTGTGTGAGCACAAGCAATGCCATTTTTTCCTCCCTGGCCCCAGTGTCGTCAACTGTAAGATGAGGGCATTAGCGTATTGGTTTCCTAAGTCCTCTTCTAGGTCTAATATTCTGTGAGTCGGTGATTCTAGTCAAATGGACATGTTTGAGAAATCGTTTTCTTTTGTGTCTGAGGAAAGTGAGTCTTAGTAAAGAGACAGCCTTGACTCACATATTATACATGTGTATAATACCCAAACTTTTGAGTTGGGGATGGTGGGTTGCTGGTGGTGGTAGCAATGTAGGGCTATTCCACCAATTTCTAAGAAGAACAGAGAGGCAGAGGAAGAAGAGAAAGGCCAGGTTACACAGACAGTAGTCTGACTCGCACAGGCAGTACCTTTTATAAAACACAATTTCTTTGTGCCCCCAAATCTCTCTTCTGCATATGTACTGGCTTCAACAGCTATTAATGGCTATTTCCCACTATAAATCATTCTGTTTTCTATCCGTTCCTGTATACAAACCACTCAAAATTTTTGGACTGCTCATTGGAAAAATTGCTTTCTTTACAATTCTCTTTTATTAATAAGATTAATTGGATCCTACTAATAAATTGTTTTCCATAAAAACAAGATAGAGCCCTGGCCAGAGTGGCTCAATTGGTCCCATATACCACAAAGTTATGGGTCTGATTCCCAGTCAGGGCACATACCTAGGTTATGGGTTGGAGCCCTGCTGTGGGGGGAGAGGGAAGGGACACATAGAGAAAGCAACCCATCAATTTTAAAATATATATATTTTATTGATTTTATAGAGAGGAAGGGAGAGGGATAGAGAGTTAGAAACATCGATGAGAGAGAAACATTGATCAGCTGCCCCGTGCACATCCCCCACTGGGAGTTGAGCCTGCAACCATGTCCTTAACCAGAATTGAACCTGGGACCATTTAGTCTGCGGGCTAACACTCTATCCACTGAGCCAAACGGGGTAGGGTGATTGATGTTTCTCCCTCTCTCTCTCCTCTCTCTCTCTCTCTCTCTCTCTCTCTCTCTCAAAAAAAAAAAAAAATCAATAAAATCTTAAAACACACACAAAACAGCCTTGGCTGGTATGGCTCAGTGGGTTGGGCATAGTCCTATGCACTGAAAGGTTGCCCCGTAGATTCCCAGTCAGGACACATGCCTGGGGTTGTGGGCTCTATCCCTGGTAGCGGGGCATGCAGGAGGCAGCCAATCAATGATTCTCCCTCATCATTGATGTTTCTCTCTCCCTCTCCTTTCCTTTCTCTAGAAAAAAAAAATCAATAAAATACTTTAAAAATTAAAATATATAAAAAGAGAAACCCTCTTAGCCATTCTTTATTATTAATCTAATAACATTAACAATAACACTATTGTTTTCCTGTATTAAAGAGAAAGGATTACTTTGCTAATCAAAGAGCAAATTGACCACACAACTGAAATTAGCCCATGGACCCATGATCTATAGAAAGCATAATGCAATACGAATATCCTTAAGAGTAAAGTAAGTAAATAAAAATAAAAGTAATTTTAAGTTCTCAGCATGTTATACTATGGAGGGTTCACACAGTAGCATCCGATACCACCGAACCTCACCAACGTAGTGCAGACCAGAGAGAAAACAAATTCTTCCGTGTGCTTATTTCATGCTTGTGCTTAGTGAGATACCAACCTCTTTCGCTAACACATCAGGGAACTAACAAAGAGCGAGGCATTTTTGTCAAGGTTGCTTAATTTTACCACTTCTTCCTCTTATTCCCAAGGACTTTTGCTTATTTCTCCCTGCAAAGACTGAGCTTTTTTAATTTGGTAGGCTCTACCTGTGAACATCTCTGAATTTTTCTTTCATGTACTAATTTAGCATTCATCTGAGATTTGTATTTTATAAATGTATGGCATCAGAATATGCATCTGTTCACATGACCAATATAAAGAAGTCAAGTGCTGTCGTTTGATCTCTAGGTGGTAATGTAGACTGGCAAACTTCAAACTAGAGAAATTTTTAAAGCACAAAAATTGAGCCATATTTTATGTGATCAAACCCACTGCTGAGTCCCAATAAGAACTGTTTGCTGTAAATAATAATAATAATGCTATGGTTATTAATAAGTTGTGATTCAGACCGTGTGACTTTGGTCCAATAAAATGACCAAACCTATGTCCCTGGTCAATAAAAATAGTTTCTGGGGACAATACAATGGCAAACAGGATTGTTTTAAGATCAATGACGTCTGGAGTAATATCCGTTAATAGAAGCAAAGAAAAGAAGTAAAGATGAAGCTTAGTGGCTGAAAATGGCAGTTTCCCTGCTTGTTGATTGGACTTGACCCTCTAGTTCACCACTTTTCCTGAGCACCTAGGAGAGTCCAACCTGTCACAGGCACTCATATTTTCTGAATGAGCAGATGAATGAATGAATGAATGAATGAATGGTTATTGTTGTTAATTCTATAAATTACTTGTTAAGATAACGCATTTTATAATATGTAATACTTGAGTTTTAAAGGCATTTATTTTATAGATACTTGTGAATACCTAAAAAAATGAGATACCCAACATGTCCAGCATTTAAGTCATAAAAGCAAATGAAAAAGATGACTTTCAGGTTGCTGGCAAAGAGAAAGAACTGACTGGTTCTTATATGTCAATATAGAAAATATCTTCTCACGTTGATACCTGGTCCTGCTGATATGGAGAAGCTGGACTGGTAGGTCCAAGGAAATATGTTTTGTTCAGGTACTTGTTTTTAATATAAATAGATTTTGCCTCCCTTTGCTTTCGATCTTTGTAAGGTATACTTCGGAACTGCTCAATGTCTGTCCAGCACATCAGGTCGATGCTAAAATAAAAACAAAGTACAGCCTTTCTTATTTATTTCTCTCAATTCTACTAAACCCCAAACCAAGCGGCTGTTTTGACAGAACTTAAAAAGTGGTTGTCTTGACCAATTAGCACAAGGGATCAGATCATGAAACTAATAAGTACAATACTGCTTCTGATCCTGGCTAAAAATATGAATGAATACCAGGGGTCCTGGGAGCAGAAAAATAACTCTCACCACTGTTGGTGGGGTCTCGGAGTTCTTCTGTGAACACTGGACTAGTACTCTCTGTTTCAGATCTGGGAACATGCCACCTTCTGCATGTCTGTCTGGCAACAAGCTACATTAAAAATAATCCTCAGCGCCAACAGCAACTATGTATCTGGAATGTGGCTCCCAAGTCTAATCAATCTCTACTAACTTGTGAGAAAATTATTAGAAAAAATATGAACACTTTATATTAGATAAATTTTTATAAGGTCCTAAGATTCTGTGCAAAACTACATTTTATTTATGTGTCAGCTAACAAAAGTTATAAAATATTACATTCATTTCAATAGCTTAGTGAACTATAAAAGAGACACTTCTCAGAAAGAGTAATTGAAGCCAGCCAGTGTTGAGCATCAACCTATGAACCACGAGGTCACAGTTTGATTCCCAGTCAGGGCACATGCCCTGGTTGCAGGCTTGATCCCTGGTAGGGAGAGTGCAGGAGGCAGCCAATCAATGAATCTCTTTCATCGTTGATGTTTGTATCTCTTTCTCTTTCTCCCTTCCTCTCTGAAATCAATAATATTAATAATAATAATAATGATAATGAAATAGTAATTGAAGCACCTGTCTAGACAAATGCAAAAGAAACAGCAGAAAAGGGACTGGATAAAACACACTGGTATTGCCCTGGCCAATGTGGCCCAGTGGATGGAGCACTGGCCTGAGCACCAAAGGGTGGTGGGTTCAATTTCCGGTCAAGGACACATACTGAATTGCAGGCTTGATCCCCGCCCCGTTAGGGCGTGTGCGGGAGGCAACCAATCGATGTGTCTCTTTCACGTTGATGTTTCTCTCTCTCCCCCTCTTCCTCTCTCCTCACTCCCTTCTACTCTTTCTAAAAACCAATGGGAAAAATATCCTCAGGTAAGGATAACAAAAACATATATAAATAAATAAACCATGCTGGTGTTTAACTTTAGCCAATGCTAAAAGTATCAACAAATATTATTTAACCACTTAAATAACATTTCAGAGGCTGCTATTTTTAAACTGCATGCCCCAACAAAAAGTTACCCATACAGCTTAAAAAAAATAAGTAGCTTAGAAAAGAATATTTTAAGAGAGTAATATAATTTACAATGGTTATGTTCCTTACCTTGCAGAATAAGCCTCAAGAAACTGACGGAAATGTTCAAACTCCAGTTTGTTGTTAAGGAGATTATTAAAATTAAAATTCTTATATTCTGCAGGGACAAGATTCCAGTATTCTGTTGATTTAGTGGTAGCAGGATGTGGGGGAATACCAGTTCCAATGTCACTAGTAGCATCCTAGTAAAATAATACTTTTCATAAAAATCTCTTAAGCACAAATTATTTTTTCAAATTTAAATAAACTGAAATAAAAATTAACTGTTAGGCCAATGCCATTTAACAGGCCAAAGAATCTAGAATCTAAAATTTGGTTCTAACTTACATCAAATTCTCTTCTGTTCCTTTATATTCCATTCCTTTCTTTTCATGAACATTTTGGTAAATAGTTATTATATACGTGCTTATAAAATATTAATGTTCCTTTATATTCCATTCCCTTCTTTTCATGAACATTTAGTAAACAGTTATTACATACTTGCTTATAAAATATTAATTTTATTATTTTTGTTAGTACCGAAGTAATGTCTTTTATAATAAAAAGAAAACAAAAAGCATACATAATACTACCATTCAGAGATAATCACCATTAGCTTTTTTATATATACCCTTCTAGATTTCTTTTTGTCTACATACATGTAGTTTATTAAAAATGAGGGCAGGACTATACAACTATGTATGGTTTTATAACTTGGTTCCTTTTCTTAACAATATATCATGACCATAAAACATTCTTTTATCTATAACTTAATTTCAAAAGCTACACAGTAATGTAAGATGCTTTTCTAATAAAGATTACATCCTTTAAATATAATCTCCTTCATATAAAAGTTAATTAGGGGGTATTTTAAAAACCTCTGATGTTTTGCAGACAGTTTACAAGCCCTATTCTTTCTGTAATTCATTGTATGATTAATTCATCTCCCTATATGTTTTTGAAAAGCACCAGACCATGATATAAACTGCCAATATTTTCAAAATCCATTTTCATAGGAAGAAGGCTAATGATGGGGAGTATTATAAATTTTAGTTCATAAAGTTTAAAATACAATTTTACAAAATGCTATCTTTGTGGATTTTTATGTATCCTTTCCAACGTATTAATTAGTAGTGTCTCAAATAGAGAACTTCTGTGTTAATGAGGCAACCATCATGAAGGTTACATTTTAAAAAATAACTTCATTGTTTTTTGTAAAACCTTATTGTAAAAGAATAAAAATTTCGAATAGGTACAAAGAAGAAAGTAAAAATCACCTGAAACCTTACCACTCAGAGCTATTTTTTATTTTATTTTCATGGCTGACAGTGTTACAGAAGGCCTCCTTTTTTTCACATTAACCCCCTCCACCCTGCATCCCCTCCCCCAGGCCCTCACCACACTAATGTCTGTGTCCATGGGCTATGTATATATGTATATAAGTTCCCCGGTTAATCTTTCCTCCCCAACCCCTACCCCTGCCTTCCCCTCTGTTCCATGCTCAGTCAGAGCTATCTTTAATATTTTGGTGAACATCTTTCCAGATTATCTCTTTGTATATATGTACACATGTGGTAATACATATGCAATTTTATATAAATAAGATCATACAACACCAGTGTTATTGTTTCTTACATTTATGTAATACTAGAGGCCCAGTGCGTGAAATTTGTGCACTTGGGGGGGTGGGCGGTCCCTCAGCCTGGATTGCAAGAGGTCGCAGGCCAGGCTAAGGAACCCCACTGGTGCATGATCAGGGCTGGGGAGGGACGCAGGAGGTTGGCCAGTCAGGGAGGGATCGTGGGAGGACTCCAGGGTGTGTCCGGCTCTTCTCGCTCAGTCCCAATCGGCCGGACCCCAGCAGCAAGCTAACCTACCAATCAGAGCATATCCTAGGCAATGCTATAGTCTTTTTAATTGAACTCCCCAAATTCTTTCCATATTTTAAGAAATTGTTTTGCCTGCTGATGGCATACAATAGCCTCTTTTCTGTTTGGAAAACACAATTTAACTCTTGTGACTTGACAACAAATAGAGGTGCTGCCATACAGAAAATAACCAATAACATTCAAAGGAATATAATGTGGCTAGTAGGCTCTTAGCTAAGGCAGCCAAGGAGCTTGGCAACCTGTGCTACCTTATCTGCTTTGTTTTTCTGACTTTGTCGTTAAATGTGTCAATAAAATGTGCCACCTATCAAACTGTAGCATCCTTGGCAAAGCAGCAGCAGAAAAATGAAACTGCCTATTCCCTATCTTATCAATATATGATCATCTATTCCCATCCCCACCCCCAACAATATATGTGGTGGCAATCCTCTTCAGGATAAAAGTTTTTTTTTTTTTTAGAGAGTTGTCTTACCTCAGCTTTCCTGAAAACTGTCTCTTTATACAAAGCCTGTAGCTTTCTGAAGTTGACAGAGTCTAGCTGTCGAGTTTCTTCCACCAACTTCACCTAATAAAATAATAATAAAACATGTAACATCAATAGTATGTGCATTATGAAAAAGTGGGGAAAGAATGCACCATTTGCCAGGAAAAGTGGGCTAAAGACCAATACATTTGCCAATAAAGTAAATTAGTTTGGAGGCAAAAGCAGGAAGACCAACATAATGTAAAAAAGCAGCTACAGCAAAGTCAGGCTTTGAATGCATACTATAAAAAATACAAGCATTTTGCTTGGCTGGTGTGGCTCAGTGATTGAGCATTGACCCATGAACCAGGAGGTCACAATTTTATTCCCGGTCAGGGCACATGCTGGGGCTCGATCCCCAGTAGGGGGCATGCAGAAGCAGCCGACCAATGATTCTCTCTCATTAATGATGTTTCTCTCTCTCTCCCTTCCTCTCCGAAAAAAATTAAAATATATTTTAAAAATTACATGCATTTCTAGGTAATGATATAGTGCAGTGATTTTCAACCAGGGGCTGCAAGAATTTTTAAAACATGCAATACCTGACTATTTAGTCAGGGGCACTGACCTCTTTTCCCTTAGATTGACAAATAAAAATATGATAACAGCCAACACAGCAATAGCCTTTAGGCATGAATATTCTGTCTTGAATAATAAATATACAGGTCATGATAGACTTGCATGTCATTGATCATGTTGCATAAGAATGTTGTGTCTCATTGGTTAATTCTTGGTATCAGAAATCCTTATATACAAATATAGGCACCTGATTTTTTAAAAAATCACTTTGGAGCTAGAAGAATCAGTAATTGCTATTATTACTTTTTCTTTTATAAATCAATCAAAATTATACCTTTTTTTGTCAGAACGGCAAAATAACATATTTTTTGGTGTGCTGCAGAATTTAAGTAACTAGTTTATGTGTGCCATGAGATGAAAAAGATTGAAAATCGCTGATATAGTGCCAACAAAAATCTTCCTCCTTTCTGGACACCCCTTGTGAACTAACAAATAATGGAAACATTTCGGGTCAGATTTCTAGCTTCTATTCATTATAATAGGATAACAGCCACGAAGGCAGGCACTACTAGCGTTAGGCACCACATAATCCATAGAACACGAAATGACCGGACTCCACTGTTATCAGTCTGTGAGCAAAGGTTTTATTGGTGTAGCAAGAGGAGAGCGTTAATCATCCGATTAAACTCCTTAGTAGTCTCAGCCTTCAGAATGTGTAGTGCACTATTTTATATAGTCACGAGAACAAGAACACTCTCCATTCTCTGTCACAGGGAAAATCAGTTTGGCGGACTGAGAATGTTGTGTATTTCACAGCTAGTTTTGGGAGTCCCCTTGGTTATCCTTTTTGGGGAAGAGTCTACCTAATCCAGTCAGCTGGACTTTTAGAGACATCTCTAGTCTGAATTTAAGGATGTGTCTAGAATTAAGAGAGATTTCTTTTTCCTCTTATTAAAAAGAATGTATTATTTGTCCCATGCATTTTTATAAGAATCATTACTATAGGAAGCAGCAACAGGGTTAAGCCTCAGACTGACCTGTGGCAGGGCCATAAACAAGTCCCAGCTTGGAGGGAAGAGCCCTCCTAGCATAAGTAAACTTTACCTTCTAGTCCTCCCTAGTTCCTTCCTAGGTAGCTAATGGGTTGTGGGAGGTGCAGAAAGTGCTGCCAAAACAAGGTGAAACTCACAAGAACATTGTAAACATGTTGACCACTTCCCTTGTTCTGCTCTGTGTGCTCTGACTATAAAATAAAGCTTCGGCTTGCAGGCTGGGTCTCTCTGTGTCCTCATCCAGGCACAAGAGATCCACCGAGCCCCAGCTGTATTCTCTTGTCTGTCTTCTTTAATCCTTCACCGCCCCTCCTCATGTTCACCCTTGGCTGTGCTGGCGTGGCACATCATTACCAATGCCAAAACCTTTTGGTTTAGGCAGTGGTTCTCAACCTTCCTAATGCCGCTACACTTTAATACAGTTCCTCATGTTGTGGTGACCCCCAACCATAAAATTATTTTCGTTGCTACTTCATAACGGTAATTTTGCTACTGTTATGAATTGTAATGTAAATATCTGATATGCTATATGAGTTTTCCAATGGTCGTGACCCACAGGTTGAGAACCGCTGGTTTAGGGAATTTAGTTATAATTCTAAGTATCATCTCAGGACCATATCTCAGGTCCATTTCCCCCTACACCCTATATTATATTTAAAATAACAACTAGAGAGATATTTTTAAATTTCATACGATAGCCTAATTTTCGTAATGTAATCTATGTGTTTCTGTAGAAGAAAGCTTGCAATGCTAAGTTTTCAGAACAAAGAGAAAATCAGAAATAAAATTTTAATTATTTTGGTTACTGAATTTAGTAAGCCATACGGGTTGTTTCAATTCAATAAGATAACTCTATCCAGGGTATTTCAGTATTAATTTTATTTTAATTACCTAAGCTATCCTTTCTGGTGAAAGACATGACTAAGAAGTTGTGGAAGAGATACAAACAAAGAATAGCAACACAGAGATACCAGAGTCCCACCTGAAATGACCACATGTTCAGGGCACATGCATTAACTTAATATAAAAAATACCCATGAATGGTTTTAATTTGTAACTCAAAATAAATATTTAAAGAAATTTCCTCCACCCGTCAATAAAAAGAGTGAAGATATTCCAGCACGAAGGGTTAACATGACCTCTTTGGGGATGAAAAAAGATGTGTTGAAACTTTTACCCAATCAAGCAGCCTGACCTGATGAACATCTGGGTGCGCTTGACAATAGCGCCGAAGCCAGAGAATGTGCTTTCCACAATACATATGAAATGTTTATGTTTTCCATGGGTATAATATTTACTGTAACTCATCCAGCATAAAATTGAACGAGCTTTGTCCATTAATCAAAATTAAGACTGCCGCTGAAAATGGCAAGAAGGGACAAAGCCAGTATATTACCGTGGCACATTTTGTTGGGTCACAGGAAACCCAAGGTCAGAGTTATCTCTGCTGACACATTTGCGCACAGAGCTAAAAACGACACCGATGTGTTTTGTTAGGAGACGACAGGAAAATTCTGAATCCCTGGCCCAACTGAGACCTTTTCCAGTTTGTTTGTTTTTATCATGTGAGTTAACCATGCTGCTTATCATCAGTTTTACAATAAGCCCGACTGGTTCACACACAATGTATCAGTGTCGCCGTACCTGTCTGTAGGCAAGTTGGTCTAATTGTACCATCCTTGTCCAGGGCTCAAGCAGGAGGAGAAGAATATATTCTTCTGCTGTGTCAAAAAGGTCTTCAAACGGTGGCTGTATTTTCATATAAATTTCTTTTTTCTTTTGCTGCTGGAGTCCAATGTCAAGAGTGGCCGAAGGAGCAACATATGTGGCAAAAAGCAACTAGAGGAGGAGGGGAAGAAAGGAGTGGATGTTGGGAGAAACCATAATAATTAGCAGGTTCCGCGGCAAAGACATTTTTTTAAAGGTAAGAAAAGACAAACAAGCTTGAGTGGTTTTTTAAAAAAAGATGTACAAAACTACTTAAGACAAAGCAGTGTGTTTATCCAAAAGACCTTTTTGTGTGTTTTTTTAAATTTTCTCTTCCTATTTCTTCATTTGTAATTAGTCAGTTAGCCAGGAGATCTTGCACAAAAGTAGGTGATTTAGATATTGCAATTTTCCTCAGATTACTACTGTGGATTATAATGATTGCGTTCACGTTATATGTTTCCTTTTTTCCTTATATTCATGACAGTTCTAACTGTATGTGCTACTTTCCAAAGTGGCTGGAAATGCCCGCTGGAAAGCAAGAGGAAAGAATACACTAAGGCTGAAAAGTTGACTGATAGTCTTCTAGTCTAGAGACCCAGAAGACTACCTGCCCAACCAGCTGAGTTGCAGAGTTAAGACTTTCTGCTGTAAAAATGTCCATATCTCGTGTCCAGGGCTGTGATAGAGAAAGAAGGAGGAAATAGGCATGAATGGAAAGATATACACAGCACATACACAGCCTCTAGGGCAGTGGTTCTCAACCTTCCTAACGCCGCGACCCTTTAATACAGTTCCTCATGTTGTGGTGACCCCCAACCATAAAATTATTTTCATTGCTACTTCATAACTGTAATTTTGCTACTGTTATGAATCGTAATGTAAATATCTGATATGCAGAATGTATTTTCATTGTTCTGACCCACAGGTTGAGAACCGCTGCTCTAGGGAAAGTTGTATGTCTGTTCAGTGGTCAGCAAACTCATTAGTCAACAGAGCCAAATATCAACAGTACAACGATTGAAATTTCTTTTGAGAGCCAAATTTTTTAAACTTAAACTATATAGGTAGGTACACTGTTATTAACTTAATTAGGGTACTCTTAAGGCTTAGAAAGAGCCACACTCAAGGGGCCAAAGAGCCGCATGTGGCTCGCGAGTCGCAGTTTGCCGATCACGGGTCTAGTTCGTTCCATTCATTTGTCTTGTCTCTCAATAATAGTTATTTAAATCTGAGAAGCACTTTAATAAATTTTATTTTTTAAATGTTACAAACTGGATATGTCATGCCCTATATATCAGATTTAAATTTAGTTTTACTCAGAATCTTTAATTAATTGTATTTTATTTCAATTTTATTTTTATACTTAGACTTTGGAGCTGATAATGTCCAGACTTAACCCAGGCGTTAGATAGATAGATAGATAGATAGATAGATAGATAGATAGATAGATAGATAGATGATATAGATTAAATGATAAGTAGATATGTACCAAATAATACCCTTATGTAAAATAATGTTTTAAAAGTTTTAAAGGATCCACATTAATAACATAAGCATTTATGAGTATCCACCACATTTTAGACACTTGGGTAGGTGCTATGTATGCAAAGATTAATAAGTAAGACCTAATGCCAGCCCTGAAGGAGCCCATTGGTGGTGACATGGAGATGAAAACCAGTGGTTTTCAGTATGAAAAGTACCACAGTGGAGGTATATATTGAAATAAGATCTTCAATGATTGTCTGTCCAATCTTTTCAAGCTCACTTCCCATTACATACCTTTTAAATTTTATACTCAAATATCAATTTTTCTTTTTTTCCTTTTTTCTTTTTTTTTTAACTGTCTAAAGTTTTACATACGTCTCCTTTTTTCCCAATTGACTCCGCCCCCAGCCATTCCCACCCTGGGTAAGCCCCCACCGCCCCAGTGTCTGTGTCCATTGGTTATGCTAATATGCACGCATACAAGTCCTTTGGTTGACCTCTAACCCCCCCGCCCACCCACGTCCCCTGCCATTTTTCTCTGAATCTATTTTTGTTCATCAAATTATATTGATCATTATATCCCACATATGAGTGAGATCATGTGATATTTATCTTTCTCCAACTGGCTTATTTCGTTTCGTATAATGCTCTCCAGTTCTATCCATGCTGTTGCAAATGGTACAAGTTCCTTCTTTTTTTTATAGTGGCATAATATGCCATTGTGTAGATGTACCATAGTTTTTTAATCCACTCATCTGCTGATGGGCACTTAGGTTGTTTCCAAATCTTAGCTATCAAATGTCAATTTTTCTTAATTTCCCTTCACCTTGCTGTTTGGCATTCCATGTTTTGCATATCTTGTATTGACCCTACCCCATGCACCTCGTCTGCTTGATAAACTCTGATTTATTCTGTAAAGTCAACAGGAATTTCTCTTCCTCTAAGGATCCTTCACTCACACCCTCCTCCCAAGATCATACTTGTCAACTGCTATACTATCACACTATAACACCGTTAAGTATTTATGTGTCTTCTCTTCTGGAACTAGGTTTTTGAGGGTAAAAACTTCAGCTTATTCATCTGTGATTCTCCAACTCCTAAAACTGTTCTTGGCAGAGACTAGATGCCATAAATGTTTATTGAATTGTACTGAATCCACCAAAAATACTCATTTATATCTTGGAATGTGGAAGGAAAAGACTCAGAAACTCTTCCAAGAGAAGATAAGTTTCTCTTACCCTAGATCCTTAAGCTGGATCTTTAAAGATGAGTTAGAGTCAATCAGGCAAGAAAGCTGATGAGAAAGATCATTCAAGAAAGAAGGAAAACATGGGCCAAGGCATGAGGCCCTAAGAGGTTTTATGACCTGTGAGATTTTTTTAAATATAATTTTTTAGAATATATTTTTATTGATTTCAGAGAAGAAGGGAGGGGGAAAGAGAGACAGACACATCAATGATGAGAGAGAATCATTGATCGACTGCCTCCTGCATGCCCTCTACTGGGGAGTGAGCCCGCAACCCAGGCATGTGCCCTGACTGGGAATCCAACCGTGACCTTCTGGTTCATAGACTGATGGATGCTCAACCACTGAACCACACCGGCCAGGCATAACCTGTGAGATTTGAGCCTTCAAGTACGTAACGCTGGCTAAAAGAAAGAGTTAGAATAAGAGAGGATGCTGTAAAGGGAGGCAGGTATCCGAGCATGAATATGATCTTTTATTCATTGGTAAGGAATTTTAATTTTTACCTAAAGATATATAATGGGGAAACTCTGAGAAGTGACGCCATTGGATATGAATTTTAGAAATAAATCACTATGGTGTCGAAGGGAGAAACAGTTTGAGCAGATCAAGGTTTGAGGCCATTTGGAAGTCATTTCAATAGTCAAATAAGAAATTATATGCCACCTTCGTCTCTTACCTGTTTTTCTGCAATAGCCTCTTAGCTGGTCTTGCCAGGTTCCTCTTTGCTCTCTTACAGTTTTACCACAGCAAACAGCGAATCCACTATGCATGTCACTTTCCTCCTCAAACTCCCATCTTCCCATTTCACACTTAGTAATAACCAAAGTCCTTACAATTACCAATAGGTGGAGGTTTTGGCAGTTTCTCGATGCTGATGGGATATGGATCATTGTAGTTTAGTGCCTGGCAGTGGGGGAAGCTCCTATAAATACCATAAGCTCTCAAAACACCCTAAGAGCAGGGGCAGACCAGGTATAAACTCCAGCCTTAAATCTTAAGTGCAAAGAGAAAACAACTGCTCACCTGTAATTGAATGCCCAGCAAAAATACCCTTCCAAAATGAAAATAAAATAAAGATGTCAGAAATCAACAAACAAAAACGGAGAATTAATCACCAGCAGACCTGCATGAAATTAATTAACTAATTAATTAATTAATTAAGGGGAAGCCCCAAACAAAAGCAAGATGGAATAGAGAACAAGAGAAAGCATAAATATGTAGATAAATGTAAATACATATTGATTGTAAAATATAATAATAATGAATAAAGTCAGAGGAAATAGTAAAAGAGACTAAAAAAATAAAAGCCAGAATTGAAGATGCAGATTAAACTGCAATTGAGATGATGTACCATGAGGCCCATTAGAGGTAGAAAAGCAATTGAGGTTAGTATCAGGGCAGTAACACAATAACATGCAGTGGGGAGTAGTAAAGAACTTGAGGTGAAAATAAAGAAAGGAGGCATTTAGAGTACTTTACAAAAATCAGAATTGACTTTTTTTTTTATCTAGTCCTCCCTTAAAAGGAGTACTTGAAGTTCAGTATCTTATAGGCACTCGATAAATATTTACTAAAAGGATAAATGGGAGATTAGTGGCCTAAAGTGAAATTATGATCTGAACAAGGAATATCAGAGTTCAAAATTCAAAGTTGAAATAGTTCCAGTTTATGGTGGATTCCAACATATGGCCATCCCATAGTTAACTTAGGGAAAACATAGATTAAAAACATTGGAATTGGGTCAATTAAGAAACTCCACAACATATATGTTATAAGGGCAATTTGTGTGGGTGTTGAAAGAGCTTCAAGATGATAAAATAGAAGGAAAAGGTAGGGAGAAAGTTCATGAGTCATGTAATGAAAATTTCTAGGAAGGTAAAACAGAACTTAGATGATCTTTGGATGACATTATTGGGGTTAAGAATGGGGGAATTACATGACATAGCAGACAGCAAAGTTTTTGAAGTTATTAAAAGATGAGTCTTGAATAGCAGCAGAGAAGAAGTGTTGTGAAATATGAGAGAAGGGGCATAGTTAGCCATTCGAGATGTCCTATTTAATTAGGCAATCTACAGTCTGGAAACTTAGTTACTTAAAACATAAGTACATATTCCACTGGGTTGAATAGTCCAAAGTGAATCATACTCTTTCCAAATGATTACATAATATTTAAAATGAAAGTTGCCACACAAACACACACACACACACACACACACACACACACGGAGAAAGGAAATTTTTCTAACCTTGGGAATTATTTAGAAGAATGACTTGTAAATCTAACTAGTCTAACAAGCTAGGATTGAATCGGATTCAAATCTGTTCTTGACCATTTTCTAAGGTGGAAGTTTTGGAAGTGAATTAAAATAATGCCATACTAAGGTAAATTAAGAAA